AGCTCGTGGGCTTGAGACTTCTGAGCCCGGATTCAGGATCTTTAAGTCCGTATGCACAGAAATGAAAATCTCCCCAGGTCACGGATGGATGTGAAAACAATTGTTGCACGCATTTCAGATACCATATCCTGGATGTCTGAGGATTTTCGATGATGAAGTATCTTCTGTGCTTTAACTGATATCGCGCAATGGATGCCACAAGTTCAACCATGGGAAGGTAGCGTCTCCGCTTTTCCCCAACCTTTTGTTGGTCTTGTTGGATGTTCTGCATATTTGACCATGGTCCACAGACCGGTGCCATAAGGATGACATCAGGTGCTTGTTCCCTGATGATCTCCATGACCATGTGTCGTCCCTTGGATGTCATTACATCGAATCCTGTGCGGATGTCTACGGGAGTCCCAACCTTAAGACCTGATAGTGTACAGCATTGACTAAATCTGGCACTTCCTGCAAAGATTTCGAGAACGTGGATCTTTCCCTTGCGTACACAATTCCAATGTGCTTGTTCAGGAATGGATGTGAGGTCCTCGACGAACATGTTCTCTGCTGGATGAGGTACTGCGGGTTTGGAGTTGTTTTTCCCGCGATACGTAATGGCTGAGGATCTTGGCTTAGGAGCTGGTGCGGATGATTCCTTTTTCTTGGTATCAGCAGAGGAGCCTGGTTGCTCCTTCTGCAAGGATTCTTGCTCTTCTGGTAACAGAAGATCAATTCCGGGTTTCCCCGGAGGGATGGTCTCATCCTTCCTGAGCTTCGTCATGTTAACCTTGATGAGTCGAGTCCCAAGATCAAGTCCTACCATCGCTCCTTCAATGGAAATGACCTTTCCTTTTAGCCATATTCCTCCCTTGCGTCCATCGGAACGAATCTTGGATTTGTCTTCCTGCCAGTAGAATACCTTGTCCTTCACCTGAAGAGGCTTTGAACTCATTCGGAGATTTTGAGCAAGGTCTCGTCGGATGTCTTCGGATTGACGTGCTTCTTGGAAAGCTTGCTTTGACAGCTGCTTAATCTGGATGGCTGTCAGCTCTTCTTCATTCCTGTCAATCGTCAACTGAGTTGGTGTTGCGACATCGAGTTTGATGAGATCTGCTGGTCGTCTTCCGAATGCGAGCTCCAATGGTGTTACACCCCCGTAGGTGACGGTCTGATTCCTGACAGTTGCAGCTGCCTACAGGGTAAATTGGACCCTGCATCTTCGATATCACACAACTCCTCCACGCAGTACCAACATCGACGTCCTTGAACAAGGAACTGTACCGATCCTTCTCAGCATCAGCCAGATGCGGAACCTCTACATGACCATCGAGCACACACCTCAATGTGACAAGATCACATGCAAGGCCTTTGGCATGAACCGTCAAGCAGTTCCAGTCTCCGGTACAGGACATGCACTCGTCGATCTTGCTGGAGTTGCAAGAGTGAAGGCGCATGGAGAAATTGCTCACAAGGGCCTCATCAACTATGTCTATGACGATGATGACAGCATCAAGTTTCCCTCCGGGGATCTCACCAAGAGCGAAACTGTTTGTGCAGCAAAATCATCCGAGAGAAAGGAGGACCTAGCAACTCCTAAGATCATTGGGTCTCAAAAGCAGGACCATTGGATCCTTGACAAGAAGAACAAGCAGCTCATTCGTGTGCGCATCACACCCCGAAGGCGCTGTTCACACCAAATGGAGCCAAGGAATGTCCAATCAATCCTGATCACATTAGCCGAGAACGTACTGCGGAAATCATTGATGCATCCGCAGGTGGAGATCCAGACATTCTAGAAGACAATTGGAGACTTACATCCCAGGCAAATAAACCGATGATTAACCTGTGGACAGGTAAGACCATTTTCACCTTCGCGGACAATTCGCTTAAGGACGAAGAAGCAGGTTCAGGATCGGCAGCAGACAGGATCATCGACAAGAGGGGCCGGTCGACTATTGAGCCAGATCCTTTCGCACCATCCTCAGAAGAACCAACATCGCTTCCGCTTGCCCTAGGCAGAATCCACAAGCGATTGTCAAATCCCGAAGAGTTGAAGAAACTCCACCTGCAGCATCATCACATGACAACAGATCAATTTCGATTTAGAACCCGAGCACTTCATTTGCCGAAATCAACATTCGATCTATTTGACAAGATCCGAAGTGAGTGTGAAGTTTGCCAAGCGGCAAAACATGCACCATCACGAAGCAAAACAAGTGGACTTCGAGCGGACACCTTTGGTGACATGACATTCACTGATCACTGTCAAGTTCCTCTTGGAACAGGAGAACACATCATTGTTTTTGTCATCCTGGATGGAGCAACAACATTGCTCACTGCAGAGGCAGTGACAACTACGCAAGAAGCCGAGAACATCACTGTCCTCAGGAACTATTTTTTGACCAGTACCACTTGCAGCCCAAATCAGTTGTCGCAGATCAAGCCTTCATGACAGATACATGGGAACATTTCTATCAGTCCCTTGACATCACACCGATATCCTTGGGACCGAATACACCATGGCCAAATCGACAGTTCGACTCCTGAAGGCACAACTCAAGATCATGCTAAGTTCCATCAAAGCAGGTACAGCACCTGCAACACTGAAGAACTTGGTCTCGGCCGGAATGTACTCATAGGAGATGATGTCCTTCATTGGGTCGATGGCCTGAGTAAAACGCTGGATTGCATGCCAGCTGCCCATAGATCTGGTACATCCATTGTTCAGAATCGCATAGGTCGGGTTGTGCTGAGGGTTGATGACAGGTGCCATCAGCTTTGTTGCCAGAAGGCTGTGATTTGTTGTGACGACAGATTGTGTTCTGAAACTGTATTTGATTGGATGAGCTTCTCGTGGATGGCCTGTTTCCCAGGATGCTCATGGAATGCCATTAACGCTTGTCCTGTGCTGGATGTCTCATGGGATGAGTACCAGCCATGTTCGTTCCATGTCCATGATTGATCCCAGTCTTGGTCTGTCCAACCGGCATAGGTAGGCTCTATGGATGGTGCAGTCTGCTGGATGGCGGGCTGCTCCTCCGTCTTCTCTGCGGTGGCTGCGAACGTCTTGGATTTCCCTTTCTCCTGTCCGCTCTTTCCTTTGCCACTCTCATAGGATGGATAACCTTTGTTTCCATCATAGGGATATTGGAATTTTGATTTTCCTTTCTTTCCCTTCTTTCCTTTGCCTTTTCCCCAATATGCCTGGTCGTAGGGATCATAGTTTTCGTTGGCCATATTGGCCTTTCCGCCAGAACCGCTTTTTCTGAAGGGTTTAAAGCCTTGTTGGTGACTGCCCTTTTTGTTTCTTGATTTTCCTTTTCCTTTTTTCTTGTTGAACTTGAAGTTCCGCCCCGACACTTTTCTTGCTATGAACGCATCGTTCTCCTGGAGGACCCAGAACGTCTCTTCATCGTTGTTTGACATGAATCCTTCAAGTCCTTCTTCATCCTCAACCCAGAAGCCTTCTTCTCCTTCGTATTCACCTTGTTCGATGATGAAGAATGTGTTGCTTCGGTTGCCTCCTTGAGGTCGGATGGATGGATCTTGGATTGATGTCCTCGTCGTGATGAAGAGTTCATGGTAGTGCGTCTTCAGCATCTCATAGGAGTGTGCAATGAGATTATCCCCGAAGGAAATGCGTCCCGCTGTCTGTCCTGCATTCCTTGGGTATACTGTCTGAGGACTGTCGGATCGTCCTCATTGAGCAGGGCTGGAGGCGGTGCTCGAACACCGGCTGCTTGCTGATGTCGAGCAATTGTTCTTGCATTTGCGTCCTGTGCGGACTGTCGAAATGATGGGGACTGTGCCGTGAAAACGGGCATCAAGTCCATCCATGCTGCCTTCAATCTCATAAGAAGGATTTCGAATTTTGAGGTAAAAATGAGGAACTCTTGGTTCTGCCTTCTATGGTTGAAGAAACTGAGGAGCCTGTACAGATACACGTTGGTCGCACCTTTCAAGAAGTACTTCTTCAGCGTGTTCTTGAAATAGTTGACTCCTTCATCAGGATCTTGCAAAAGGTCGTTTTGGAGGACTGCCTTGTACATATATGCATCACCGGTCAATCTGCTTTTGAGCAGAGGTCCTCTCTTGGGTGCTTCCATCGTTGTGATGGTCACCCAGTCGTCCACGAGTTCTTCATACCTGAACCAGCTGACTTTTCCGTCGTACGATGGCGGCTGCTTGGCGGCCATCGATAAATTTAGTGTTTCCTCCGTATAGCCTGGATTTTTGGCCATACTTGAATAGGCTTCCATGAAGCTCTCTCCATCGGATGACATCTTGCCTTGGATCTCTTGCGGAAAACCCGCTCCGCTACCACAAATTGAGGCCCACTGCCCAGATACCTATCCAGAAGGGAGCTGGTACCCTGTGGTAGTAGAGGTCGTTGTTGGTCCTGGATCTATTCCGGAGAGAATCCAATATGCCAATGTGGATGATTGGAGGATGGATTGTCCCTGGTGGATTGTCTTGTGGATATTCCTGTAAGCGGCCTGCAAAGGTTCTTTTGCTTCACGCGATCATGAATGATGCAATGGTACACAAAAGGGGCCTTGAGCCAAATGTTGCGGGAGATCAATTGGTCTGAGAACCAAACACAGGGGGGGGGCGTGGTGGGGGGGGCGGGTGCCTGAGGTGGCTGGGAATCCCAGGAGGAATGGCCCACGGAGTTGCCCATTCCAGAGCCTTTCTTAGCTTTGGTGCCAGTCTAAGCAGTAGACATGTTGTTTTTCGGTTGATTCTTTTTGCCCGGGAAACCATGCGCCAGCGCTGTAGACCAAGCGCGTCAACATGTGCGGCCTTATTGCATCTCTGGGCGACCTCATTGGACAACTCAACTATGCCACCCCCCCCCCCCCACAAAAAAAAAAAAAAACAAAGCACACAAAAACAAAACAAAACAACACCACACACAAAGCAACAACAACAACACCAACATATGCCAAGCTTGTCCCCTCACAAGTATCCAGACAGCCACCATGGGTACAAGTGCCTTCCCACTGCCACTGGCCCAGGGGTTTGTGGGCTTGGACTTGCTCACGGGCTATGAGGACTTGCCCGGCAGCAGCATGTTCGAGAATCTTGGTTCTTGCTCATGTATCAGGTCACAGGTTCATGAGAGTACAATCGAATTTGACCCACCTAAAGAGGCGACGAGATGGTTCACTGCCTTTTGTTGGTGTGCTTGGGGGATGACTTGACTGGGACAGCTCAAGGAACAAGTCTGCCCTGGTGTGGGGCTTCGGCAATGCGGCGCACGAGACCGCCCGAGAGCTGCAGAAGTTCACGCAGGCAAAGGTGTCTGTCACCGGGCGACAGGTTGGCCATGTTCAGCATGCCATCGTGTGCATGGGACCCGTGTCCCTCAAACCTGAGCCTTGCACAGCTGGAGCAAGGGCTCAAGCAACATCATCCAAATTTTAGAATCCATGCGTCCCGAGAGCATGCGTCCCGAGAGTGCGGAGGAATGGTTCCAGATTTTGCCAGACCTGCTGGAAAGAGGCAGCTGGACCGTGGCCTGCGCACGGAAAGACGCGAAGTTGCTGCACCGGGAGTGTCCCTGGGGCGGGCACCTCATCAAGTTCGACATCAGCTTCCAACTCGCCCCAGGCAGCATCTTGGTGAGGCCGGAGGCGCGGTTTGCGCACCTGCAGCAACACCCCGTGGAGGGCATAGACTGCAAGCTCTGCGAGTTCATCGCTCCGGGTGAGGCCGTCCTGCGGATTTCCCAGAGCGCCGTCCCCTCGCGCTTCGCGAACGTGCTCTTCGGCAAGGTGGCTGTGGGTCAAAACTCATGGGATCCCATTTTGGGGTAGGTGCACCACCCATTTTTGTCTATTTTAGTGGGGATTGGGATGTTCACTGCAAGTACGGGATTTTGAGCCATGGCCAGGTGGAGGAAGATGCGCACCCCGCCCCATTGACGGCCCTGCGCCACACCTCGCGCCGGGACTTCCCCCGAAAAGGGGACAGCACCTGGTGCGTGGTGGAGACCAGCGGCACGCGGCACGAGCGCCTCGTCCTGCTGCGCCCGGAAGACGATGGCCGATATCGCTACGTGGCGGTGGCACAGATCCCGGAGGACTGCTTTGCGATGTGGGCCACCTTCCAATTCTTGCAGCTGCTGGATGGGTGCAAGATCTCCGTTGCCAGGACCATCAAGGCCTTGACCAGCCCCGAGGCCCGAGAGCTGGACGAGAACCTGTATTTGCATCTCAGCATGACAGCCTTCCAGCGCGGCAACCCCTTCCTGCCAGCAGAGGAGTGCCCGACCAGCGTCTGTGTCGACTCGGGCAAGAGCCTTGGGCTTCTCCACTGGGAGCGCTTCAAGGGGGAATTTCGCCTCGCGGAGTACGTGAAGGTCTTTCTGGCTCGCATGGGCGAGGACATTCGCACCTTCGATTCCATAGATGGTCGCCGCCTTTCACCGCACCATTGCGTGGTCCTCCGGGACCAATGGCAGCGTGTCCGGGGCCGATTCCTCGAGGCCTTGCGCGTGCAAAGGGCCGCCTACCGCCGGGGCAGCGGGGGCTCCAACGCGCCCAGCATCCGCGAGCAGGTGGAGCCCAAGTTCCTGCCCGGGCCGCTACGACGACACGAGCCGCGGAGCCTGGCAGCCCAGCTGGTGGTGCGGAACACCTTCTGGGACGTCCTGGAGCATAGCCGAGCTCCCAGGAGGCGCCGCACCGTGCAGCTCCCAGTGATGTTGCCGGCGAGTTAAAGGTGCCTCAGAATCCATGGCGCACCCCCCCCCTCAATTTTAAGTGGCGCTGTATAGACGATTGAAGATTTGGGTGAGCAAACAACAGCTTCGCTGTGTACAGAGCCGTGTGCTTTCAACATGTACAGGGCGGAAATGTGACCGCTACAAGCACTCAGGTTGCCAATTCAAAAAAACCTCTTCTGCATCTTTATCCAGTCTGTCCCAGCCCAACGAGCAACGGAAGAGACGGAACCAAAGCATGCAGACAAAGGAGAAAGGAGCGCATGATTGGTGACATGAGATGCTTGCTTCCTCAGGGTCAATGTGGATGGTCATCAATTCCTGAGAGAGGCTTTTGGACGACTGCTGTAAGGCGAGCATCATGCGAGTTTTGACCGACAACCAAGTATTCCCTTGGTTTTCTTCCAAAGATTCACCCTTCGCGCTTGGCACTCCCCACCAGGCGGTAACGATGTTGCACCGGCGCCCGACGGCCACTTTGGAAGGGCCGGCTGCTGACGGGTTGCCGCGGTTCGCCTTCTTCACGCACTACCCTGGGGACATCAGGCCTGATGCCCATTTCGGGATTCACACGGGTAAGTGGCCAACTCCAAGAAATTTGCTCCATCAAATGCTCTCGAAATCTCAACTGCCCCCTCCTATTGTTGCCCATGGAGGCAGGGGGCACAAACGATTTGCGCCAACTTGCACCTCCTTTTTCTTTGTTACTAATCTGCTAGCGTGAACTTTGTAACCCAAGCTGGGAAGGATCCATTTTCCTCACCTGCAAGGTGAGGCTGTTTGCTTGGGAGGTTTTGGTCGGCGCAAGTCCTCTACGTGACTCCCGCAGGACGGTGACGATGCAGATCTATGACTCTTACTTGCTCAAGGCTCTGGACGTGAAGCTGCCGTACGCCGCGGAGGAGCCAGCCATTGGTTTGGTCATTGGGGTTGTGAAAACCGGAGACAGAGCCCCCCTTTTTGGAGCTTGTGGGGTGTGCCAACATCGACTCAGGATCTATTTTGGGCAATAAAGGCACGTTTGCCCATTGCACCTTTCTATGATGCATGTTTTCTCTTGATGCGAAGAGCGTGAAAGCTCGACATGCGTGCCTTTTCCTAGGTCCGGTCTGGCTTTTGACCGAATGTGCCTGAAAGCCAAAAAGCTGTACTCGTTTTTAGCTTGGCCGTCAGTACCCTTTCCAGTATGAATCAGATTGTGGAAAGGAAGCTTTCTGAAGGTACCCTTGGGGTTAGTTGAGGGAAGCCAAAAAGAAACCGCCCACTTTTCGTGTTCCCTTCTCCGAGGCAAAGATCAGCCTTCGCCATGTTGGCAAATTCCCTGGAGCTCTCAGTCGTAGAGGTACCCTTTTGGCGTATGGTTTGACAACGACCCTTTGACCCTTGGCTAGTTAGTTGATGATTTCTTGTTTGGCTTGATTGGCTTGCTGGCTGGTCGTTGGTTGGTTGGTTGGCTGGCTGGCTGGCTGGCTGGTCGGTTGGCCGGTCGGTTGGCCGGCTGGCTGGCTGGCTGGTTGGTTGAATGGCTGGTGGGGTCGAACGTGCCAGGAGGAGCCCGTGTTCCTCCGCTGCGGCGAGAAGATCTGCGTCTGGGTCTCCAAGAGTAGCCGCTGCGGCGGAGCAGGTGGGGTCGCCACTCGTCACTGCGGGGAAGGAATTCGGAGTGAGGAAAGGACAGATGAGAGCACCTTGAGCCCTTGAATAAGCATGGAAGACTATCAACTCCCTTCTGGGCATGAAAAACAAACACACACACACACACAGGTGAGATCTGGGCTGTTTGTCGTCCTACAATTTGCTTTCCCCAGGCATCGATCGGGAAATCTTGCCGCTGCGCTATGTGACTGCTGATGCTCCGCGGGAGTGCGTGGTAGAGGCAGGCCCGCGTTGGTCCGCCACCATTTTGCCGGTCCACCTATTTTGAGACATACCCACATCCAGCCATTCCCCTAGGCATTGCGTTTGCTCAGTATTGATTTGCTCACTGCACCAGTTGAGAAAGCGAGCAGCCATGTTATAGTCCTGCAGAACCTTTGTAGTTGAGAACTGACCTTCACCGGAAGATTTCATCTCTCGAATGCTGCAAGTTAGAGAACATGTGTGCGGTCGGCGAGACTTTCTGTCCTATGATGCATCATGAGATGACAACTCAGCGTGTCAAACACATTGACCCCAACCTCTCTCCTATCCACACGGTCTGTCGCAGCTGCAGCAGGTGAGCCAGTTGTGGGAACCGCAAGGACCGGTCTTCGGTGTCAAGGTTGGCTTTCCAAACTTGTCATGGGTTGGGCCGTTCTCCGTCCAAGCTTAAGGTGCGCCTTTTGGGGGTGTCTCAAACTTAGGGCATCCAGCTCGCTGGTTTCCTTTGCTTTCTCTGGAGAACCAAACAGGGGGTTCCCCGCAAAAAGCGACAGCCTCATTTCCTGGCTGGGCTTCGGCAGGTGGGGCAGCTGGAGCCCGGCCACGCGGCGGCGCGGCCTTTGCTGGCGCCCCTCGGAGTCCCTTTGGCGCCCGGCACTCAACGCGTTGGTGTTGTAAACTACATGGTGGATGCATGTCATAAAGAGAAGCGGCACGCGCATGCGCACACGCACGTGCTTCTTTGTTACAATGTAAGCAAGCACGCAAACGCGCGGTTGCGGACATGTCCTGAGGCAGTGCTCTGATACCAAGAGCAGTGTTGCACATACCTGTTCCGGTGATCTTTCGGAGCCAATCAGTGTGATTACATGGATGAGTCTCATGTTTGCGCTTGTGCGCATTCAGGGGCCTTAGGAGGCGATCATGAGGAGAATGCCAAGGCTGTTTGGTTCGTTGGAAAGAGATGTCAGAGCCACAACGAGAAACACGCCACGCCAAGCTGGTTATGTGTTTTACGAGACCGCTCAGATTGAATTTGAATCGTTGCCGCTGTCAAACAGAAAAACGTATTCACAAGACTATAGAGGATGTACCCATGTATTGCATACCTGCGCGCTCCACACGCAAATGCAAGCATCACTTTGGCTTTAAATGAGGTTTCTTGAAACGATCCATCATGAATGAGTTGTTTTTTCTCAGGTCCAGGTCAGCTCGAGTGAAATCAGTGAGAGTTTTTGCCCGAGGCGACTCCGGTTTTTGCAATCGCGGGGCCTGGCGGTGGAGGGTCGAGACTTTGCCTGGAGGGAAGGCCCAGATGTGCAGGAGGCGCGGCAGTTTGGCTCGACACGTCGGGGAGATATGGGGATTAAGCAGTCTTGGGTTTGAAGAAGGGTAGAGAAGGTGGCAGAAGGCGCGATTCGTAAGGCGATGTCCAGGCCCCAAGCACCTAACCAACCAACCGGGAAATCACGAACGATGGCAACAGCAGCAGCAACAGTGGCAAAACATAGAGCAAGACCAGAAGCATGAACGAACAAGGAAGCAAGGAAGCAAGGAAGCAGGGAACAACAAGCGCAGCCAGGCGTTGGTGGAGCGTGTGCTGGAGCTGGGTTACGGCAGCTCAGATTCAAAAAAGACGAGAGAGAGAGAGAGAGAGAGGGAGATAGAGAGAGAGAGAGAGAGAGAGACAGAGAGTTGGAAAGAGGTGGGTTTTGTTCCGCGACATCGCTGGTCATGGTGCTGGTGTTGACTCGCGGTGCTGGGTCCGCGCGCGCTGCAGTGAGTGTGGTCAGGGTGCTGGTGGTTGGCGGTGCTTATTCGGGCAGGCAAAAGAGACATTCCGGTCAAATCTCCAATGTATCTGGGGTCTATGCTGGGTTTTTCACAAGGCATGGACAGATGGGACCTTTGCTCACCAAAGGCAGCACGGGCCAAGATCCAGGGACGAAGTAGCAGCACGTTGTCTCTCCAGATGGTTGGTTAGCATGGTGGTTGCTTCTCTATTTTATGTGATTGTGTATGGCTTGAATGCCTTCAGAACCGACACCATCCAAGTCTAAGTCCATGTGAAGTGCTGGAAACATCACTTGCACTTGAGGAAGTGTGGAGGAGTACTTGGCGGCCCGGGAACGTGGCTCGGCCTTGCGCTTTCGCATTTCCGCGCGTTTGTCGCTTTGGGTGTTTTTGGGCTCCACAAGACCCTCGCCTCTGTGCGAGTGACTTGACATTTTTGTCGCTTCAACGAGGCCCAGCTCAAGCTGCAATGACTCGGCCGATTGGCATGCCCCACATAGGGGGAGAAGCCATCGAATTAGGACAAGTTTCATCGCAGGATCCTGTGGGGTCTGAGTGCTCAGACTTTCCGAGTTGGCTTTCCTTTTGGTTTCCCCTTGGACACCAACCACCCAAAGGAAAAAACGTGCTGCCGCCAGACAACCCGCACCCACCCGTTTTCAACCAGCGCCCACGCCCTCCGACCCGCGCGCCTTCGCAGGCGACGGCCGCGCCTTCAACGGCGCCTTCGCGGCGCGGCCGCCGCGCCTGGAGCTGTCCTCCGCCTTCCTGGCGCGGCAGCCGCGGCTGCTGGCACAGGTTGCCAGGCGGATGTCTGGCGGATGTCTGGGGTTGAGTTGAGAAATGTTTTGTGTGCACATGTTTATTTTATTTTTTAAATGAGTTTTCCAGGCGAATGCCAGAACACGATTGTCCGACAAGGGCCCTTGTTTTATGAAAAGGACGAATGATTGGATTAAAGTTCCTTGTCCAGGTTGCGGCCCCAGTTGAGCACCGACCCCTTGCGGCATGGCTTTGATGTTGTAGTTCGATGCCTCGGCTGGCGTGCAAACGCAGGCAGGGTGCGCAGACGGTTTGTTGGGACTGTGGATGATGGAGAGACGGGGAGTTGCAGGTTGGGAGGACAGATCCTCTCAAAGATCAAACATGGACACAATGTGTAGAGTTTGGTAGCCTCGGCGCGAGTCATCGCCTGTGCTCCAGGGCATCAGAAAGGTGCGGCTTTGAAGCTGACGATGCCAAAGGCCATGCAAAAGTATCCCCGCATGGATGCCTCGTACCAATCTGTGGAGATGCCCGGCCTTTACTTTGCAGGCGGGGGACAAGATGGCACGAACTGCCAGGAATTGGCACAGCAAAATGTCTATGGGCACCCTGCAAACTAAGAAGTCCCGGCAATTTTCTTGGAGTGCAGCTTGAGAGACTTGCTTTGGCGACTTTTGAAAAGCAGCCAGCCAGCATCCCTTGAAATATTTTTGGCATGCATTTGCTGAAGTATGCTTAAATGAGTAAGGATATCGACCTATCATTGGTCCAGCTCCACGTGCTCTCAGCGAGCTTGATGTCAGGTGCTGTCAGCCATGGCCGCGACTATCGGCGCTCTGCTGGGGGCTTTATCCACGGCTTCAGGCAGGGAAGCAGGGTGAACACGACACCAATGAGCCGTGCGAAGCCCCCTTCAGCTGAGACAGACAGGCCGCATTTTTCGGACGTTTGGATGAGGTTCTTTCGGCAGGTACACCGCACGGGCACTGTATCGAATCCTGGCGGACGGCTGGCCAAATCGCTCCTTTTCGCTGGCGCAGCCTGAGGAGCGTATGAAGTGGATGCAGCAGGCGGGGACGAGAGCAAGCCGAGGGAAGTTGTGGGTGTGACTCACAAGCCACGACCGCCCTTGGGTTGGTGCCTTTGTCAATAAATCACTGACATCCATCTCGGGCTTCAGATCAACGACTTCAGTCACAAACTGCCTGTCAGACAGCTTGGACACTTCTATCCATGAAGCGTTGTTGAAGGATTTGACACCTCGCAAATGGTCGTGGGTTCCCTAAAAAGCCATTCAACAAGGGCATGCATGTGTTGTGTCTTAGGTTCGAGTTTGGCAACTCGAATGCACCCTGAAGCGACTTCCTGCGCCATGAAGGTGGATGTTCAATTGCCCAGCGGGCATAGTTGCTCCATGGAGGTCTTTCCGGTGAGCCCGGGTTGCGAGATTGGGACTTGGTGGATGCAGGTGTACAATTAGGCAAGCTGGCTGCCATCTTACAGGCGTTCGCTTTGCATGACCAGTGGGGTGAGGTTGTGGCCTGGGGTGATCCATTCCATGGCGGAGACATCAGCCAGGTGCATCCAAGCATCTCAGGGTGCTTTTGCTGCCATTCTTGAATCTGGGGCTGTTGTCACGGTTGTGCAGGCTGGGGCGGTGACAGCAGCCCGGTCAAGATCAGTTGAGGAACGTCCACCACATCCAATCAACTACTGGTGCTTTTGCTGCCATTCTTGAATCTGGGGCTGTTGTGACCTGGGGTGATCCAGAATATGGCAGACTGCAGCAAGGTGCAAGACAAGCCGAGCAACGTCCGGCACATCCAAGCAACTGCCGGTGCTTTCGCTGCCATTCTTGACTCCGGGGCTGTTGTAACATGGGGTGATCCAGAATGCGGCGGAGGCAGCGGCCGGGTGCAAGAGCATCTGAGGAATGTTCAGCACATCCAAGCAACTCAGGGTGCTCTTGCCGCCATTCTTGAATTCGGGGCTGTTGCAACATGGGGTAATGCAGAGTGTGGCGCAGACAGCAGCAAGGTGGAAGAGCAACTGCGCTTGAATCTGCGTCTGCAACGTTGACTGCGCAATTTTCTCGGGCGCCAATCTCGCGTGCTGAAAAAGGGAACAGCAGGTGCACTCAGTTGCAGCCACAAGGCAGTTCACGACGTGAGCAGCATACTTTTTTACCATCAGCCATAGCAGTTAAGAGGATGACCTGAGGGTGCTGTTGCAGGCGTGCTTTTCTTGGATTGTGTTCTTTGGTGTCTGCTCGAAAATGCTTTGTATTTTCGTTCGACAAAATCCCGGAACTGCGAAACATATTTGTCACGGAGTGCCTCAGGTTTAGGCCAACTTTCAGACTGACGTGCGGAAGAGATTTGCCAGGTAATAGACGGGGCCTAGTAGGCCATGGGAAGGACTTCTTTGCTCTTCGGACCTGTGGCACAAGGAGGGCTCTTGCATGGAGGTCAGAAGGCAAACCCTGGTCTGCTCATATGAGGTTTGGTCAAAACCTGCTTTGTTTGTACAAGGGGACTCACTCATTTCCCCATCATAGTTCAGTTCGACCAACCTCTGCAGGTGCTCCTCCGGGTCAATGAAGCTGCAGGCTTGGGGGTTGAATTGGTGCGGGTGCTCTAGTCACTTGGTCTGCCGTGACCATGCTGGAAAATAAGCGGAACATGTACTGGAATCGTTCTTTGTTTCCTGGCGCTACGTCGCCCCCAGGGGCTTTCTTCGATACACTTGGACGTGGTACACGTTGCCGAGCCTTTTTTCTTTGTCTCTGGCCAGGTCCATACCAGATGTTTGGGGAGTTGGTAGACGTGGTGCTTTTTAGCCCAAACTCGGCGCAGTACTTGGAGGAGTTGCCGGCGGCTTACGCGCAGGAGCAGTTCGGCTTGCGACCCCGTGTCTTGGCCTCTGACCTTCTGCCAATGGCCCAAAGCCGCCGCGAGTTGACAGCTTAATAGTGACCCAGGCTGAGTACGCCCGTCCCATTATTAGGGAAGTGATGAATCCCCACTAAAAGAGGACACCCCCCAATCAAAATCAACCAGGGGTTTAAGAATCCGGGGTTAGCATTACCCACGGCCCGCCCCAAACCCGATCCTGCAATCCTCGAGGCTTGCAGCTGAGCTTCGTCTATGGGCGCCGCTTCAGCGCGCTGGACCTTCCGAGCCCGGGAGCTGTAGGTGGGAGCGGTGGGGGCGCTGGTGAAGCGCAGCGATGTGCGCCGAACAGTTTTCCCAGGGCAACTCAGTCATGCTGAATCCTGAAATGCAGCGATTGGTTGGAGCAGACCAGGGAAATTTGCTTTGGAGACATTGGAGCGGCAGCAAGCCTGTGCCTGGCGTGGCCTGTGCATGTTGCAGGCCCCGAGTTTGCGGAGTTCTCTGCTTTCCTGCATCCGCGGCTGGAGCTTTTTGCGCCCTGCGGAGGCGGGTCGGCAGAGACGGCATTTGGAATCTGGAACTTGCTTCTTGAGTGGGTGCTTGCGATAGCACGGTTCAGCCTGGGAGGGGAAGGGGTCAAAAATAGGTACCCCAAATGGAACCCGATCGGCAAATGGAAACAAGGACTAAAATCTGCGGTCCAATTCCTGGTGGTTTCATTTTAACCCATACCCAGAAAGACTTGGGAGGATTTTGTTTTGGGTTTGCAACAGACCAACTGACTGCATCCATAGGCCCGGGGCACTGCCCGCCTGCTCTGGCGCACGCCCTGGTTGAAGATGTCTTCACTGAGTGGCGCTCCGTTTCGGGACACGTGGCGCCCCTGTTTCGCTTTCTGCAGGCGGGGGTTCCGGGCATCACCGGCCCGGCGGGCTCAACTTGTGTTTTTTGCTTTTTTGGGATCTGAGACGTGAGATGTCTGTGCTTGACCATTGATGGATGCGTTGGCCTCGATATGAGTCTCCATGATGTGAAAGGGTTCAGCGTGAAAATGTAGGCTTGTGACTATATTGGCCACACCCTGAAAGAAGACGTTTGGAACCGTTTGTGGGCCTCACCATTCCTGCACCACGCCCGGGTCCCCACGGTTGGCTTTTGAATTCCCAGCGGGTTCCAAGCCTTGCGGCAGGCGTGCATCGAGCGGGTAAGCACGTGGCTTCAAGGCGGTGTGGCTGAAGTCGCGGGAACATGAGCTGGGGAGCATGGGGAATCGACCGCAAAGGCCAAGGGAGCTTGGCATGCTTGTAGGCTGAGACTCATGTGACTCATGTCGCACAAAGTCAAGGACCATCCACACCCAGGTATGTTGAAAGAAGAGTATCACTGGAGATACAAGCGGCTCATGCCCCATGGGCAGCCTGGCATGGAGCTCAGGTGCCACTTGAGGAGTCGACCACGAGAAGCCCCTGTGACAAGGAACGAAGGAGACCTGTGCCTACGGAGTTCAGTCCCAGCACTGCGCGGTGGCACGATGCCCGCGCCTTCGCCTTGGCTTCTGATCTGATCGCGGCTCTCGCCGGTGCCACGGTGCCACGCGCCGAAGGTGTTGAGGGTACAAAACCGCGCAAGAGCGCCAGTGCTAGGCGCGAGAGTCAAAGGATGCGGCCCGAGAAAATGCAAGAGTCCGTCAGGTCCTCATTGCACGGAGAGGGAGAGAGTGCTGAGGACATTCTTTGTGCCTATTGGTGGCAGCTGCTGTACAGTCACCAGGACAGACCGTGAAAGGCAGAGCTGGCACCACAGCGCTGTAATGAGACTTGTGAGCACGTCCTGACTCGCTCACAAAGCTTCGCATTTCCAATTGAGCCTGGTGTGTGATCGGGGTGCAACTGGGTGCCTAACTGTTGCCAAACCCAAGAAGAACATGTTTGATTTGTTGAAGCAGGGACATATTCTTGGTAGTCGCCTTTGTGCTTTCAACCTGTCTGCTGGGCCCCTGCCTGTCTAGGAGCTAGCAGCAAGGGGCGAGAGCCACACGCACCCCCTTCTGCCGGGCGCTTTGGAACGCCACCTTTTTCCAGCTTGACTGGCCGGACACCAAGGCCTTCGCTGGCTCGGGAAAAAGAGGGCAAGGCGCAATTGGGCGGGACGAGGATAGCTGCGGCGCAACTTGGGTTAGACGAGATGTCAGCATTCTCACCCTATAGGCAGAATCAGTCGGCACGTAACAGCAACATCTTTTTACCAGCATGGCCGTCATCATTCGGTGTGGCTGACATTGGCAGCATCACCAGAAACCAGCATCCAGCAGCATTCACCCACCCGCTAACATCAGCATTGCTGGCCCGACTGGCATGATCGGCATCAGCAACCCAGTGATCCAGATCCTTAGACCACAGCGAAGCTTGGAAACGTCGAAATTCAATATCCCTCCAATCAGGGCCATTTGTCTGGGCCAGTACTGGCCTCCACCAGCAATACAACAAACCAATTTCCGAGAAAACCCCAATTCCCTTCCTTCCTTCGTTCCTTCCTTTCTTTCTTTCTTGCTTTCTTTCTTTCTTTCTTTCTTTCTTTCTTTCTTGCTTTTCTGTCTTCCACTCTTTCTTTCTTGCTTTTCTGTTTTCCCTCTTTCTTTCTTGCTTTTCTGTATTCCCTCTTTCTTTCTTTCCTTTCTTCTCTTCTTTCTTTCTTGCTTTCTTTCTTCCTTTCTTTCTTTCTTTGTTTCTTTCTTCCATTCTTTCTTGCTTTCCTTTTGTTTCTTTCTTTCTCACTTGATGTCTCCCTTTTTGTTTTGTCCTTCCCCTGTCTTTTACTTTCCTTTCCTTCCCTTTCCCTTCCCTTCCCTTTCTCTCCTCTCCTCTCCTCTCCTCTCCTCTCCTCTCCTCTCCTCTCCTCTCCTCTCCTTTGTTGTTTTCTTTTTCCTTGCTGTTAATATCTTTTATTTCCTTTTCTTTTTCCTTTATTTGTTGTCTTCTCTTCTTTCCCTTCCATTTTCTTGTTCTTTTGATGCTGTTGTCATATCGGTTATGTTGCTAGGTGGTGCAGATGTTGGATGCCAGTTATGTTTGTTATGAGGGAGTGTGTGTAAGATGTTTGTGGTGTTCGCGATACTCAGGAAACTGCCAGTAATGCTTTTTGTTGCCTGCTGATTGCTTCGTGCAATCTTTCTTGCTATATGCTTTGCTCTTCGTTCCTTACCTGGTGACCATTGTGTTCTATTCCTGCACTGGCAACGCGGGTGATGCAGTGGCACCAGCTTCAACTTGAGCTGTTGGTACGATTGCATCGTCAGTGAGACCCATACGACTTTTCGAATCAGCTCAAATCAGTTGGAGCAATCCTTCAGAGTGCGGTTCGACACCGTTGCAGCAAAATTTTCCCCAGCATCCTTCCTTCGGTCTGTTGAATCATGTTTTGATTCCTGTTGCTTTGTCACTTTTTTTGGGGAGCCATAGTCCAGGGAGCCAACGCCTTTTGAGGCATATGAGGGAGGCCTTGTGCTGAGCCGGAGCTAGCAAAAAGCCGGGGCGAGCAAACCCAAAAACAACTACACCTGCATAGACTCAGAGAACAAAAAACTGCACCTGCACCCTGGCCCTGCTTGCAGCTATCTGGGGAAAAACACCTCAACCATCGTCTAGGCGTCCAACACAAACCCCCCCTTCCCGCTGGCCGGGAGCGAGGGAGCGAGCCAGGCACTGGAGGAGCTCTCCACAAAGCTGTGGGGCACTGAGCGAATTGAAACCCCCTTGGAAACGAACCCCCAACCGCCAAATGGGTGTGGGTCAAAATTGAAGAACTAGGGTTGCGCAGGTGTTAGTCTTTGGTTCCATTTGGCAAGGTGCCATTTTGGTACGTCTATTTGAGCCACAGCCAACTGTGGCCTAAAAAAGGCCATCCCCGCTTTTCGATTTGCACGCATGTGATTTGGGAGGTTTAGGGCCAGGGTAGGGGAGCTGGGGAGCTGGGGTTCAGGTGGGTCGAGCACGCTGCACGTCTTCGGGGGGAGGGGGGGTGGGTTTTCCCCAGAAGACGGCTGCGTCCCAACGACTGCCTCTATGGTCTGTGTTTGCTCAACTGCGTAGCATGAAAGGAGCCGGCAAAAATATTATCTTTGGGAGGGCACACACCAACGCTCTTCGGCAGGTTGAGGCCAGTGCTGCAGAACTTGCAAGAGCTTCCGTTGAAGCAGGCCCCGAGCCCCCGAAGTTTGTGAAGCGCCGGTCTCGTCAAAGCCAGATGAACCATTTTTCAACGCTTGGCTTCCATGCGATGTAGATACCATTTGAGCCATCCATTTGGGTATGGGTCAAACATAGGGTAACCCCAAAACAGAACCCGATCGGCAAATGGAAACATACGACCTGCGGTCCAATTGGTTTAATTTCGACTCCCCATTTGACGGGATTCCGGCATTTGATCTTTGTTCCTTTGGGCGCTGCACCTCGCAGGTCACCGCCTGCCTCACTGCCCTGGCGCCGCCGGTACGGCCGCCAGATGCCCTTTGGCCGCAGGTGCCCCTGAGGCCGTGAGAGGTCACGACCCTGGAGGGATTTTAGACGAGCACAGGCTTGAGATGGCTTGAAACAACCGCATGACCATAAGTTTTCTTACCGTAGGTGTCCTTTTTGGTTGTTTTGGTGGAAAAATAGATGGCCCTGGTAAAACCCGGTGGTTCAATAATCTACAGGGCCATTTATTTGCCCTAAAAGGACACCTATGTTCCTTACACGAGTCACATCCTCCGCGCTCGCTGTTTGTTTCACCGCTCGTTGCGAGTTGAATCCGGGAGGGGAACTCAGGTCATCAGCCAGGAGGACAGGGGCCTGGTGCGAGAAGCGGTGGCCTCTGCCTTCGCAGGACAGATTTGTGCATTGACCAAATCACTGGACGTGACAGGCAAAGGAAGGGAAGGCAAACGTGCGTCCGATTGGTGAGAGAATAGCTCCACCAGTTTGATGAATATATCATATGACATTACACTCATAGTGTATATCGCATAACTAAGAAGCAGTCACATAGGTAAATACAGAAATAAGTAGAACACATGAATATGTAAGCAACTAGATTCGATAGATACGTAGATAGATAAATAAACAAATCAACAAGCAATGAATGAATAAGTAAATTAATATCTAGAATTATAATAAACAAATGGATAAACAAATGCCTAAATATGTAAGCAAATACAGTAAATAAATGCATAGATAGATGATAATGAATACACCAATCAATGAACCATACGCAAATAAATACATAAATCTACAAATAAACACATAAATAAATACACAAGTAAATCTATAAATGAATTTCAAGAATAAATTTATGAAATAATGAACAAGTAATAAATAAATAACTACATAAATAAGTAAATAAATAAATAAAGAAATAACTAGACAAATAATTAGTTAAGAAATAAATAACTTATGCATAAATTGATAAGTCAATAAATCAACAATCAAATAGCAACACACATAAATCAAGAAACAAATAATCAGATAAATAAACAAGTACATGATCAACTGGACAAATAAGGACAATCACATAAATACATGACCAACTTAATAGTAACTAAACACATAAATAAATAAGTACATACGTAAATAACTAAATACGAAAACACATAGTTGCATAGGTGCAAACAAATAACTACATACAAAAATCAACACATCAAACAATCATCACACACACACACATAAACTGCTGACGCATTGACCGACTAATCAGATGAATAAATAAGTACTCATGAACAAATAGATAAATCAATAAAACATAAATAAATGAATAAATATATAAATCAATAAATAAATAAATAAATAAATAAATAAATAAATAAATAAATAAATACATAAATATCAACTAAACAAATTCATAATTGCATGAGTGAATGAATTAATGAAATATGAATGAATGGATTAATCAATGAATGAATGTGTGAAGGAAGGAAGGAAGGAAGGAAGGAAGGAAGGAAGGGAAGGGAAGGGAAGGGAAGGGAAGGGAAGGGAAGGGAAGGGAAGGGAAGGGAAGGGAAGGGAAGGGAAGGGAAGGGAAGGGAAGGGAAGGGAATGGAATGGAATGGAATGGAATGGAATGGAATGGAAGGAAGGATGGAATGGAATGGAATGGAAGGAAGGAAGGAAGGAATGGAATGAATGGAATGAATGACATGAATGAAATGAATGACATGAATGACATGAATGACATGAATGAAATGAATGAAATGAATGACATGAATGACATGCATGACATGAAGGACATGAATGAAATGAATGAAATTCATGCCATGAATGACATGAATGACATGAATGACATGAATGAAATGAATGACATGAATGACATGAATGACATGAATGAAATGAATGAAATGAATGACATGAATGACATGAATGAAATGAATGACATGAATGACATGAATGACATGAATGACATGAATGGAATGAATGGAATGAATGGAATGAATGGAATGAATAAAATGAATGGAATGAATGGGATGGATGGAATGAATGGGATGGATGGATGGATGGATGGATGGATGGATGGATGGATGGATGGATGGATGGATGGATGGAATGAATGGGATGGATGGATGGAATGAATGGGATGGATGGATGGATGGATGGATGGATGGATGGATGGATGGATGGATGGATGGATGGATGGATGGATGGATGGATGGATGGATGGATGGATGGATGGATGGATGGATGGATGGATGGATGGATGGATGGATGGATGGATGGATGGATGGATGGATGGATGGATGGATGGATGGATGGATGGATGGATGGATGGATGGATGGATGGATGGATGGATGGATGGATGGATGGATGGATGGATGGATGGATGGATGGATGGATGGATGGATGGATGGATGGATGGATGGATGGATGGATGGATGGATGGATGGATGGATGGATGGATGGATGGATGGATGGATGGATGAATGAATGGACCTATATAGATACAAACGTGGGGGCTGAGGGGAGGAGGGGTGGGGGGAGGGGCCCCAATAAGCCCCAAATAAGCCCTTATTAGGGGCTTAATGAGGGCTTATTTGGGCTCCCCCCCCTCCCTCCCCCCCAGCCCCCATGAAATAAGTCAACGAATACACAATTTCACAAAGATACTACAAATGGATACGTACAAAATAATAACATACATGCGTAAAGAAGGACATGTGTGTTTATATGTAATATGTAAACCAAGATACATTGTACACGCCCAACTTGGCCACATACATCGGGTGGACCACACGTAGCAGTCGGCCCGGCTTCCAGGAGCTTCCGGTGAGGTGACGGCCCCGGGATCCAAACGATTTGGCCAGGTGGTGCAATGCTCGGCCTCTCAAGGTGGCACACAGAGGGCCACTATGGCGTTCATCTCTTGTTGCACACAATTTACGGTGTGTGTGTGTGTGTGCAAAACAATACGGAGATTGTGTGTGTGTGTGTGTTGATGTTTCGTTCAAGTGTTTGTTGTGGCTTGCGGTTTGAGTTGACAAGTTGATGCTGGACAGGCAGTTGCACCGGCTGTTACAGCTGTTGGAATGCAGCCTTGACAGCACGCAGACTTTTTCAATCCTAGCATATGCTCTTGGCATCAACTCTTTTGCCACTGAGTCACTGGAATGATTGTTACTTTATCTCTTTTCTTGCGCTCTTCTGCTCGCGTTTGTGCTTGGTGGCTGCAGAGGTCGAGGGCGTTCCGGTCTTCGTTGAGGGCTGGATGCAGGACAGTCAGTGTCGAGCGAACAGGGTCAGATGTCTCCAAGATCACGGCTGCCCCCCTTTCCGCGGGGGGGGGGGGGGAAGGGGGCATGGGCCAATGTTACTTGAGGGTGTCTCAAACTAGTGACCCTCCTTTTGGTTGGCGTTTGAAGGGGAAACAAAGGACACCAACCATTTTCCGGGTCTGGTGGGGTTTCGTTTTTTTTTTTTTTTTTTTTTTTTAAGTACTGGTTCGCCCAACGGCCCCGGGGGGGTTTGGCTTAGTACTGGTCTGCCCAACGGGTCTGGAGGGGTTTCGGATTATTTTTCAATTACTGGTCTGCCCAACGGGCCCGGGGATTCGTTTGTTAAGTACTGCCTCGCCCAACGGGTCTGGGGGGCTGGGTTTTTTAAGTACTGGTTCGCCCAACGGGTCTGGGGGGATTCGTTTTTTTTAAGTACTTGTTCACCCAAGGGGGGCTGTTTTTTTTTTTTTCTTTTTTTTTTTTCTACTGTCGGTCCCCATGATTTTAGGCTGGTTTTCATTCAACCAGCGTCCGGGACCCAAGCGCTCGCAGCTCGCAAGGAGCAATCAATCCTTCGGTTTTTGCGCCCTGGGAGCTTTTGGCGTGCAAGAGTTCCATTTGGGTGTGGCTATTAACCAGGAGGGGCAAACCGCAGGTTTTGGTCCATGTTTCCACTTTCCAGGGCAACCCATTTTGGAATTCCGGTTTTTTGAGCCACAGCCATTTGAATTGCAAGCCGTGTTTTCGGTTTTCGCTCTTCTCCAGAAGAGGCTCTCACAGTTGAGCTCGCTTGTCCGGGGTTTCTTGGGTATACCTACCCATTTTTGGAGGGTCCTTAGGGAGGCTCCAGAAAAAAAAAGAAACACAAAGGCCAAACCACACAGGTAGATAAACATTTTTTGAATCAATCGACTTCCTTTAGATTAATGGGTTTTTTGGGTATGAAGAAATCCGCGGTTGGAACTAAGGTTCATTTTGGCGGTTCCCCGCGAATCGTCCGGTTCAACTTAGATTTTTGAGTTGTTTTAGTTGGTTTAGTGGTTGGGTTTCCATGTAACCCACAAGTCCAACACTTTTAGCAGGGGATCAGACTGAGGACAGTCACGGCTGTGGAAGATTGGGTGCTACTTTCTGTATGGAGCAGTCCTGCAGATGACAACAACTTTATCGCAGAAAGGGTGACCCTAGGGTTCAACCCCCACGAAAACAAAGGTGGACACAATTTAGCAGAATTTAGCAATTTAGATGATGACTTGTTTTAATGGTGGTTTGAACCCCAGAGGTGATTTCCACAACCATGGGTAATACTGATGGGTAATACTGCCCCAGTGCAACCAACCAGGACGTTCCATTCTGAGGGTGCTGCCCCTTTGAGCAGTGGGATCTCTTTGTCCTTCAAAGATTCCTAGACCGTGGCTGTCCTTACCGCCCATTTCTTCTCTTGCAGTTCTTCTGCTTTTTTTGGGTGTTTTTTGTTGCCCACTCCCCCACAGCTTCCTCCCCACTCGCTCCCGACTCCGTTTTCCGGGCTCGAGATCCTCCCGCTCGCTTCGCTGGCCTGATCGGAGGACTTCTGGGACGCGGAGCTGCGGGGCCTCGCGGCGGCGGAGCTCTTGGAGCTGGCCTGCGGCCTCCGCGAGGCGCCTGGGCAGCGGGCGATCCGGGCGAGGGAGGGTTGGCCTTTGTTGGGACCTCGCGCTGGGCGGGAGAGGCAAGTTTGGTGAGCGACTTTTCAAAGTCGGTCCAAGAGTGGCACGAGAGAGAGAGAGAGAGAAAGAAAGAGAGCTGGTTGCTGGTTGCGGCTCAGGAAAACTGCAGGTTCTCTCTGAAAAAACCAGACGCCTCTGGTGGCTCTTGCTTCTATGCCCCGGAAACTCAGCGCCAGGCGGGCATGGACTGGCGATTTCCCATGACTTTGATCATGGCGCCGACCTCAAGCCGTGCCAATCGCCGGGAGGGCCAAGGCTTGGGTGAAGAGGCGGTTGAGGTAGGGCTCAGAACTTACTTGGGGTGCGCTGATTCAAACACAGTGGAATGTGTCAGGACCATCTTAAAGCGGAAGGGCCCCTTGTTTTGATGCACATCCATAAGATGGGTTTGTCTGTGGTTTGCCTCTGGTTTCCCTTGACATGGCTGCCAAGAGTTTGGAAGGTTTAGGGTTGGCATAAGCCATCAATGTGCTGAACGGCAACAAATCCCTATATTTTCTGGGCCAATTGATGTGGCGATGGTTATGCACATTTCTGGTTCCTCTGAGTGCGCCATGCTCGTTGAGGGGCTCCCGGAGATTCCGGTGTCAAACTTGTTAAGTTTCCTTGGCTGGGCATTGCAATGCCCTCGCAGCTTGGGAGGGCTGCAGCGCGATGACGCGCGGCTCGACCTGGTGCTGCTGGAGCGTCGGTCGCCGTTGGATGCCAGGCTCCGGTGCGGATCAGGCACTGGCGAAATCACAAGTGCCGCTCTTTTTGGCTCTCATCGAGGCGGCCAAGTTGTCGACGCGCAAGACGCCTCCGGCAACTGCGCCCCGAGCGACTTCACTGGCAAAACGGACACAGGCTGCGCGCAGCTCGCGCAAAGTGTCGCCCCCTGGCTGCAAGAGAGACGCGGTAACCCTCGCTCGTGGTTGTGCTGGTCGTCAGCTACCTTGCCCTTGAAGGCGGGCCCTCCAGTGGGCCTCCGTCCCACTGTTCGTTTGGCCGCCTTTCAGCAACCCGCGCGACTTGTTGCGGCAACCGACGGCTGCATGTTTGCCTCCACAAGCTCACGGCGAGGGCGCCCAAGTGAGCTTGGCCGCAAGGGCACTCACGGCGTAGTCAAAGCCGCTTCTTGCCCACACACGCAGTCTGCAGGCGCTTGTGGCGGAGGAAGTGCAGCTGGCCAGGAGAGCAAGTCAACTCTTGGGCCCGCCAAGCGCTCGAACATCGTGGGGTCCGACGCTGAATCCGGCGCGCGGCGGACGATTGCGCAAGGACAGCTGTTGCGAGATGCGCTTTTGCTATGCCGGGCAACCGTTGCAGCTTCGCAAGGCTCTCGCCGAAGCTGTCGCCCACGTGACACTCGCGACTCCAAGCAGCGCACTCACGACGAGTACCCTCGTTGAGCGCTTACTCACTGCCGCTGGCCTCCATCCACACATCGGCTGGCGTAGGCAAAGTCAGTGAAGCCACGCCAGCCAGAGCCCCACTCCGAACACATTTGGGGTGGCGGTTGGGGCGACCCTGCAAAGTGAAGGTTCGCAGACGGCTCCCATCCGTTTCGAAGGAACGTGTGACGCGTTGAGGTAGTGACCCCGAGAGTTTGGAAGGCTTAGGGCGGGTGAGGCCTCCTTTCGTGGCAACGACTAATCCCCACAAGCGATAGAGAGAAAAGAGGATCGCGGATAGTTTTGATTGACGGTGACATGTCATGCCGTGATTTGTAGGCAATCTCCAAAAGCGCAGCCCTAACCAAGAAACATCCAGGTTCCCCACTCGGCAATGCCTTGAGGCTTGCAGACAAGCAAGCTGAGGCAGAGATCAACCGCCGGCTCCGGCTGTCCCCGGGGCAGCAGCGTTGCCGGCGAACTTGGAGCAACGGGATCACGGGCTGATTTTCTTTTTGGGTTGTGTGGGAAGATTTTCCTTCCAAGCTTCTTGCAAATGTGAGCCCACAGCTTTACTTAGACATCTAGCGCCATCGCGCCCGGCAGGCGTCAGGAAGTCGAGCTCTCGCACTTCTTGCTGCTGCGCTTGTGCCGGATCATGGACCTGTGGCCGCCCACCCAGAATGCTTGGGGGCCGAAGGCAAAACCTCGTAGCCCGGCTTGCAGTCCATTTTGGCAAGGAAGTTCTCGGATGGCTCGCTGGCATTGCAAGCGAAACTGCAACTGACCGAGGCACACGCCAGGGCCCCGGAGTTTCAAGCGCGGCACGCACCCGCCTCTTTTTTCCTTCTTCCTCTCCTGTGCACGCACCCGCCTTTCTTTTTTCTTTTCCTCTCCTGTGGGGAGTTGCATGCTTGCTCACACGGGTTTCTGTCTCATCACGCCAGGGTTCTTTGTACCGGACATTTTCCACCAGCATTTGCTGCCGCATCTGCGAGATCTCTCCTCTGATTGGCCTCGATGGCTTGTTTGCTAGGTGGCTGTGGGTCAAAACCAATGGTATCATTTTGGGGTAGGTGAATTCACCACACATTTTAGAACCTATTTTAGTGCTTGGATTGGGATGTTCACTGCAAGTGCGATTTGGATTTGACCCATGGCCAGGTCAAGAACCTGAAAGCGCGTGCGGTGTGCGGCATTTGAAAGTCTCGAGGCATGAGGTGGAGAACATGCTGAAGAGCATGCTGTCGAACCCGGAGGCCCCGCCGGTCGAGTGGAAAACCAAAAAACCATCCGGCTCAGTACCTAACCCATACCAGGTGTGTCTTCTATTAGGGGACCCCTTTTTTGAACATGTGTGGTGTTCCCCTTTTCGTTTTCCTTTTGAAGCCATAACAAGAAGTACAGTAGTTTGTTCGAAGAAAGACAAGCCGCCCGTATTAGTTCTCCTCTTCTCGCAAATGACAAGGGATGCCCAAAAGCTTTGAATTCAGAGTGTCCTGGACTGGGGGCTTCCTTTGATACTGCGCGAGTTGTTTTCGTGTCGCTTAGCTCCGTGTCGCTTAAAACGGTTAGCTTTGATAGGATTGCCTTATTTGAATGTAAATTATTTGCACTGAACCAATTGCACGCTTACTCCGGGAATCCTGAATGGATATTTTCGAATTACGTTATATGATTTATATTACTAAGAATCCTGGAAGCCGATAATTGTGCTGGGTGGCTTCAAGCTTCTCCCTGGCAACACGAAGAGGCTTGTTGTTTTCAGCTGTAACTTTTCAGGGGTCAACTTCTTTTGGGGTGCCCGACCCCCCCTTCTTGGTGCGGGTTTTGAACAGAAGCCAACAAGAACACCCAGCCATTGTCAGGGTCCGTAGGGTCCGGTTTGCAAGGGCGTGGCTTACGAGTTGCTCTTTGTGACACTTCGGATATTTTTCCGGACCTTGTTGGGTGCCCTCCAGGTGCTACCCCCAGCTCCAAATACTGTTTTTCAGGATATGTTCTTCGAACAACCTGGTTTTCCATGGTAGATTCCCCTGTCCGGGTTCGACATACCCAAAAGCGGTGGGTCTTTTTCAGGGGATCTTTCTGCCAGGTCCCAAGTCATGTGGTGCCCTTTTGCATGGCCGAAGAGCAGTGAAAGCTTTTTGGACTAGGCTAAAACGCAGTGAGCAGCATCTGAGCTCATTTGCAGATGTGAGGAAAAGCAAACGGCGATGGGCTAGAAAAAGACCTAAGCCTGGAGAATCTGGCCAAGGATGGCATACACAAGGCTGAAGCGCAGTGAAAAGTAACTGAGAATGTGAGGAAAGGCAAATGGCGAGGAACGGGAAGACCTGGGGGCTGGAAGTCATGCGCGCAAGCCTTGGAAAAGGCAGGGGCCTCCAGGTCCCAAGTCATGCTCAGGATTCTTATTCCTGAAAATCGGAGATGCTCTGATCCTGCCAAAAGAAAAGCATAGCTATGAAAAGCGTGCGCAGTGCTGGGAAAAAGGTTAGGGGAAGGCTAAGAAATGGTAGACCAATGCTGCAACAGGGCGATTGGAAAAACCAGGAGGCCTGCAGGTCTCAGCTTTTTTGCATTACAAAACAAGTTGCAGAAATGCAAGGAAAAAGCCGGTGACATTTCGCAGAAGGAACCAGATTCGGAAAATAGGCTCAGCACCTGCCTAAAAAGAGGAATATGCTGCCAGGCTGTGTCATGTGCTCTCATTGCCTGGTGCTATCAGTATGCAGTTTGAATCACGGGGTAGAAGGTGATGTGGTTTGATGGTGGGGGTTGGTTAAGCCGCGAGCCTTGAGTAAGTTTCTCTGTTTCTGTCGGCCCCTCCGTTTGTGACCTTGGGATCTTGGCTGACGCGCTTACGCGCTTCGAGCGAGGCGCTGCGGCCTCTGCCCACGGCATACTTTGTGGGTGTGCTCACGGCGCTCAGCAGTTTCCCGGTGCCCAAGGCGGGTGCAAGACTGTTCAGTGGTGTTTGAAGCCTGGATACTGAAGTCAACACCACAGGGAAACCGGTGCCCTGTGGAGGCGCTACTCATTGTGTACCCAAAGCACTCCTCTCCTTGGTCGGAGGTTTTTAAACTCTTTTGATATACAAGGTTTCAAGCGTTTGCCCGTGGGCACGAAACATTGTCAGCTTTGGGCCAAGTTGTGGTTTCTCCGGGCTTCTTCCTTTGGTGTTCCTCCGGCAGTAACGGTTTCTAAGCCAGCTTGCTTGAAATGGAGCCCACTTTGGTGTACGGATGTCCCCAGCTCTTAAACCTGTGCTCAGATCCTTCATCCGAAGCACCCAATGTATCTTTCCGAGCTCAGGGCTCTGCCAAATGTCCAGCTTTTCATGTTGGCCTTGCTTCTTTTTCCGTTTGACACATAGTATCAAGGTTGCCTGAAATCTTTTTTGCCCTTGACAGCTGAAAGCCTTGGGGTCTCTGCCCAAACAAGGCAGCTTTCAGGCTTTCTCAGGGAGGGTTCCGGAGGGTTTTAGGGGTTCTACTGCTGTTGGGGATACCGGCAAAGGGGAACCAAGGTGACCCTCTGTAAAGGCTCCAAATTGCCTCCGGTTGGATCATCCTCCGGCAAGATCTTGATCCTCCCCATCCTGGATTCCGCTCGAGAATCTTCAAAGGGTTCATTCCCTTGTCACCTCTCACCCAGAGATCTTGATGATCCTAACCATCCTGGAGGTTTCCTAGGGGATCCCCAAACGGTTTCCTTGCACTCCTGGATTCTTGGAAACCCCCCGAAGTCCAAAAGGTGGACAACCCCCTCGAGCCGAGCTCGGCAGGACCTCCCCCTGCGCCTCGCGAGCTCCTTCTTGGATCGGGAGGAGCTGGGGGAAGTGGCGGTGCTGCCGCGGAGCCCAGAAATTCCTTTGGCGAAGCGCTGCATGTTGGGGAAGTGGGATGAGGATCTTTTTTTTTCCCCAATACCCAGAGTTATGTTTATTTACTTATTTATTTGCTTATTAATTTACTCGTTTATCTATTTACTAGATATACATATACATATTGTTCTCAGACTTTGTACAGATGAGATGTTTCAGCCTGCCTTGGCCGTGGGGCTGAAACTTTAAAGAGTGAAGTGTGGATAGACCCAGCCTGATTGATATTGGCATAAAGGACACTCAAGCCAATCGCCTAGCATGAGACTGACAATAGTTCTGCGAATAATGTCATATTATCGGAGCTACTTAGATAAATATGTCATCACGCAATGCCCTTATTGAGACATGAGCATATTTGATGAGAGAACTATATTTGATATCGTGTTTTGTGTTATGATAATGGGCGTCCTCCTCGTAGTTTTGTCGTGAATGCTCTCGCCGATGTGGACATAGGCCTTGAACACTCAACCACGTGATCCCGGAATGCCTACGTGACTTTCAAGAGTTATTCAAGCGGCCAGGGGGCTGTTGCAATAGGACGTCTTCCGAAACTTTTTTTGTTTCGAGCGGTCACGTTGTGACAAAGGCGCTTGCGCTTGATTCCCCACATATTGCAAGCGCACCAACTGCGAGATGTGGATCAACCGTTTGGCCAGCCAAGGCCCGAGCAGTGGGCAGATCTTCTGTGTGCCGTGCGCCCACTGGACGAGGCGCGCGATCCGCTTGGAGAAACGACATCTTTTGGAGCTTCGACCCTTGGTCCTGGAAGGGGGATGTGAACATATGTGTATCATCAAAGGAAGTTTAGAAGGAACTTCCGTGTTACGGCAACTACTTGAAAGCTAGCTCTCTGAGACAAATGACAAGAGAAGGAATAAGCCCGCGAGAAAAAATGTGCGCGCGTGTGGCAGGGGAAGAGAGAGAGAGAGAGATAGATAGATAGATAGAAAGATAGAAAGATAGATAGGTAGAGAGATAGATAGATACACGAGAGATAGAGAGAGAGAGAGATAGATAGAAAGAAAGAAAGAAAGAGAGAGAGAGATAGATAGATAGATAGAAAGAAAGAGAGATAGAGAGATAGATGCAGAGATAAACAGATAGATAGATAAACAAACAGAAGATAGATAGACAGATAGATAGATAGATAGAGAAATCGATAGATAAATAAATAGAGAGACAGAGAGATAGATAGATAGATAGATAGATAGATAGATAGATAGATAGATAGATAGATAGATAGATAGATAGATGGATAGGTAGAGAAAGAAAGAAAGATAGATAGATAGATAGATAGATACATAGATAGAGAGGTAGATAGCTAGATAGATAGACAGATAGACAGAGACAGACAGAGATAGAGGGATAGAGAGATAGATAGATAGAAAGAAAGAGAGATAGAGAGATAGGTAGATATATAGATAGAGAGATAGAGAGATAGATAGATAGGTAGAGAAGATAGATAGAGATAGATAGACAGATAGATAAGCAGATAGATAGCTAACACGAGAGATAGATAGATAGGTAGTTGGGTAGATAGATAGGTAAAGAAAGAAAGAAAGACAGATAGATAGATAGATAGATAGATAGACAGATAGGTAGACAGAGAAGAGACAAAAGAAAGAACAGCACAAAAACAAGCAAACCAAAGAAAGAAAGACAGATAGAAAGAAGGAAAGAAGGGAGGAAGGAAGGAAAGAAAGGAAGAAAGGAAGAATGGCGGAGAAAAAAGAAACAATGAAAGGGAAGAAGAAGAGAAAAAGAGTCAAGAAAAGAAAGAGAAAGAGAACTATAGTTTTTATATTTTTGAAACTTCCGCCCACCGGCTTCGCCGGCTCTCCTGGGAACAGATGTGTAGATGTCACACGTATGTCATTAGGATGTTTATGGTTGCTCGACTTTGGCCCCCGCTGCTGGGAAAAGCTACCGTGCCACTAGTCCTTTGGTGGCACCCCATGTTGCGAAAACGGATGTGTCGCCAATACCTTGCCGCACGCCAATCGAACAAGGACTAGAAGTGCGTGCGACAAGAGCTCAGCAAGCCTTGCCGGTGGAGTCTGGAATCTGCGCAGTTCAATGCAACAAGCTACATGGATGTTTTGGGTCTCCACCAGATAGTGACGATGCTAGCAGCGGTGATGCTGGCAGCATAGACCAACGGCACTTTCTGCTGCTTCGCCTAGTCTCATCATATCTCACAGTGCTAGCATCACCAGTGGGCTCCACCAATAGGATCTGCCCCAAATGAGTCCAAAATACACCACCAAAGTTGCGAATGTGAGTTTCAATTCAAACTTCCTGTTGAGCACAACTAGTTGCAGCCTCGGGTCGGCGGACATGTATGCATGATTATGTCATGCTCAAACAACATGTTATGCAGGGTGATTTGGAACTATTGCATGGTTCCTGAGAAGAACCAGCTTTTGGGAAGTGCTCTGGTTGACTTGTGTCAGCAAGTGGTATTTGTGTAGCCTGTTGAAGCTGTTGGATGTGCAATGCGTTCCAACAAGTTTCATTCCACGCAAGTGGCCGAGCAAAAATCCTGTTTGTCTATGCTGCGTGGGGGAACATGAAGGGGGGGAGGACCACCCACTAGCCCCCCCACTAGCCCACACCTGGTCGTCCAATTCGCCAATATTTCACCTAGGGGCTAGGGCTGCCCCTTTTTGAAGCTCAGCGCTCGGCCAGCCTTTCTTCGAGCGCCTCACGCCGCGACTGCTTCAGCAACTGCTGCCACACCTTTCAGGCGTTTGGGAGCGGGGCACGGGGATCGCTGCGCCGGGAGGTCGCTCACCACAAGGCTTCCTTGGTGGCCCCATGTGGCTGTGGTTGTCAAAATCAATGGGATCCCATTTGGGGGTAGGTGAATTCACCACCCATTTTAGAACGTATCTTAGTGGTTGGATTGGGATGTTCACTGGGGGTACGATTTGGATTTTGACCCATGGCCACATGGCCGCCATGGGGGTTTTGTTTCTGGGAGACTTGTGCGAAACAGTTGGGAGCAAGCCTCTCCGTGACGGGTTTTGATATTCCGATTAGGGAATTGACCAACGGGACAGATCGAAGAGCTGCAAACCTGCCACTGAAGCGCCGTGGAGGCCTGACGGTTCGTCAGTACAGGCTCTGACTTTGTCTTCCACATCCACGTTGCATGTCCATGTGGGCGTGTCTCAAGATGGTGCGCCCCCCTTTGGTTGGCTTAAAAGGAAGCCAAAAGGAAGCCAAGCATTTCTTTTGGGACCAACCATTTTTGGAGGTCCGTTTTTTCGGAGACACCGTGTCCAGCTTTGATATTCCACCTTGATGTTGAATCTCCATATCTGCATCATTCTACTTCCATAGGCAACTTTCACGTTCCATTTCCATCCGATTCCCATATCCAGTTTTCATATCCACATCCAATGTCTTCTTCAACGGCATGGCATCCTCCCCCGGCAATCGGCCCTTTTCGAGTGCATGGCTTCGCCCGTTTTCGAGGCCTCCCGGACCCAGTGCTGCTGCGCCTCCTCGAAGTCTTGGCGGCTGCCCCCCCCAAGGTGGGATTCGGTGGCTAGCTTTTGGCCTTGGCGCTGTGAGGGGCTTGCTTTCCTCGAGGTTTGGGGGGCCGGGGGAAAACATGTCAAACAAGGGTTGGTGTGGCTTGACATTTGGATAGGCTCCCGCAGATTTCCGTACAGAACCGGTTTGCCAAGTTGCCGAAAGGTGATCTTGCTAGAAGGAAGCCGGTTCCCGTGCCATTGGCGCGAGCAGTCCCAATGTGCGAGACCTACATGCCATGATACCCGCGGTGGGTTTGTGGTGGGTTTGCTTGAACATTGTCATTTGAATGTCATATTCTGGGAATCCACAGTGGCTTCGTCTCCTGAGCCTACTCATGATTCTTCTTGTGCATCGCACTCATAATGAGCTGACTCAAGCTCTCAAGACACTCCTGTAGCCAAGGGCTTGCGACAGCGAGGCTCATCGCAGCGCAAAGTTTGCGGGTGACACGTGGAAACCGACTGTCGAACTCGCCAAGGCTTTGCTCACAGGGCCTCTTGGCGGGGTGTCAATCGAACTTCAGTCTCTGGTCCCTACCTGCCAGGCGTTCTCCGCCTTCCGTTCGCTCAATTGACTCACAGACCGCGCGGCCTAAATTGAGAACGACTCTCCGGAGTTTCAAGGGACGACGAAACGGGCGGTCTCAATATACAAAGGTTCGCTTCTCTCAGGAAGGACCCTCGAGCTTTTGGTCTGTCTGGCATGTGGCAGGAGAAGGGCGAGATTGTCCCAGCAGGGACCTCAGCCGGGGACCGATTGATTCCATCGGAGTTTTGGGCATGCCACTTTTCTGCGATCCCTTTCACGCCACCAACCATATTCTTGGTCAACTGGGGAGGACATAGGGGTGCAACTTCTGCACTCTCGCAGTAGGCGTGCAGTAGGACAGACAAGTGGCGCAGGGGGACAACCCAAATTTCTCAAAGGCAGGGGGCACATCCGCGCCGCGGGATGCATATTGAAGCCCAGGAAAGCTCGTCGCTCTGGCTTAGCCGCGAGAACCCCCCCCATGGCTGGTGTCCTTCTGCCTTTCCCGCAAAAGATAGATGGAAGGCGCCCAAAATTGGGGGTTCTATTCACTCAGATGGCATTGATGCTTGGCAAAACTTGGGCGTGCTTATTGTGCGCTTGCTTCCAAAATTGGCCAGGCGCCTGACACCTGACACAGCCACGGAGCAACTGACCAAATCTGTTGTTAGCCCACCAATCTCCGCACAAAATTGGGGCGCCCAAAGATGCCCGTTTTGAAATTCCTCGTTCTCCTGGAAGCTTTCGCTTCCAGATCTGGAGTAGACGTTTTCTTGAACAGTTCAACTTTTTCCAGCAGTTTCATTAATGTCTGCTTTTGTGGGTCAGTTTTCAAACTTCGAATGGTCCCAATTGTGGGGGGTTTCTCTTTTTGGTGGTTTTAAAGGGAAACCACCAGCCACAACCGAAGACTGACCCATTTGGCCGAAGAAAAAAACCGCAAAGTGCCGCAGGCGAGCCCTTTGGAGCAAGCCCCGGGTGCCTTCAGCGTGGCCATGGCAGAGGCAGGTGAAGCACCGGTTCTCAAAATGAGCGACCTTTTTTTTGGGGGGGATTTTTGAAAGGTGCACCCGTAAATGTTTTTGTGTTTGTTTTTTTTTGGGGGGGCTACATTGGCTAACATTTTTTTTGCGCGTGGCCTGGGCACTCTTGACCACAAATTCTCTGTATAACTTGCCACACAGCATTACATATCAAGCTTGTAGATCAAAGCAAGAAGTTCCTACGTCCATAGATTTGCTGAAACGAAGCTCGGTTTCTCGTGTTTCGTCCCGTTTCTACAACCTCCAATGCTCCACCCTCCGTGACAGGTGGTGAAGTCTGGGCGATGGGATTTGCAGAAGGCATGTGAAGAGGGGGGTGCAGGTGCGAGAGCCGAGGGGCTTTTTCCAAGCGACTTTGTCAAAGAGGCTGGTTGCTTTCAAGCAGGGTTGAGGGAACAAGTTGTTTTTCCCTCTGCATACCAGGGAACCCCCGTTCAAATGAAGAACTAGTCATTAGACAGGCCTACAGAAGACCACGGCAATTCCCTGCCAGAGGCACATGCCTTGCGTGGAGCTCCCTTCAAAGTGAGTTGCCTGACCCAAGTTCAGTTGACAAGTTAGAGCTGCAACGTGTCTACTTTGTTTGCAAGTTTTTTGCCTAAAGGCCCCGTGTTCGGGCCCGCAATGTTAGCCCAGCAGAAAAGACTCTTAGAACTTCCCTGAGCCGATGCAGGTTCTAACAGCGTTCGACTGCCTTGGCAAGCTCGGGTGGTACGATGAGCGCGCAGTGGCCGAAGTGCGGCTTGGCCGCAAGCCTGGTTGCAGGCGAGGATTCTCTCGATTCCAAGTGAGCCACAATCAAAACCCGGGTAGACGAAGGTTAGTAAGGGACAATCCCAGCCAGAAACAGCTGCGGCCGCCTTTGTTCCGTACATGGTTCTGCGTCAGCCATTTTGGTACCGGGTTTTGATTGTGACTCTTGGTTTTGCTTTTTCGGAGCCAGCTTCGGGGCTTGGATGGCATTTGAAAGGGGTCACTGAGGCTGCGCTGCATCGCCGGTGTCTCAGGTGTTGACCGCGCGGCGCGCGTCGCGCCAAGTGCAGCCACACCCCCCAAAAGTCCCGGTGGCAAGATGTGGACATGGGCCTTGAACACTCAACCACGTGATTCAAGGGTTTACCTTGCCAGCTGATCCACTATATTTCCTTATATAAGGCTACAGATGAGTTTGCACGCCTGGGACTTTGCCCGATCAGGGTCGCGCTTGCCAAGCTCGTAGTCCTAATATCCCCCAATGGCATGCTCTGTCTTCTGTGGCTAGAGAGCGATGTTTTTGACCCATGCCCATGCAGGCGCGCCACCTTTGCCATCAAAAGCCCGACTACTCCACCTTTACCGTCAAATGATCCTTGGGCCCCAGAAAATCCAGGGTCCTGAGTCGCGTGGGGCTTTGGGTCAACGTGTTTGGAACCTTCTGCCCAGTTGGCAACCCACTTCCTGGAGCCTCATGCGCCACTACTGCTGCCGCTGGCGGGCAGGGGGGGGAGGTTGACGCAACACACATGTCTTGGACTTTTGTTTTCGCAGTAGCAAACCCTCGAAATCCAATCTCGTGTGGCTGCCCTACCCGATTTAGCTGGCGGGAAACCCGCCTTTCTTGTTTTTTGAGCAACGCACATAAGTGGACGGCCCTCAAGCATTGAGATCCTCAGATGTTTTTGTGGGCCTTGTGGTGCTTTCCTTTCAGTCAAGTTGCACTCACGACTCCAATTTGTTTGATGGTCTGTGTCTGTGTCTGTGTCTGTGTCTGTGTCTGTGTCTGTGTCTGTGTCTGTGTCTGTGTCTGTGTCTGTGTCTGTGTCTGTCTGTGTGTGTGTGTGCGCGTTTTTGTTTGTTTCACAGGCTTCGTTAACAAGGGGCGTCCGGGCAAGTTGGTGTTTTTCTTCGCAGAACCCGGTATCTTGTCTGTGGGAATTCCTAGCGCAGTGTGCATGCTTGGTACAAGGCAAGCAAGTGGGTAATGGATGATTGCTCCAAGAGTTGGCAATCAAAGCACGTCCCAACTCTGATGCCACGGCTCAACAGTTTGCATCAAAGAATGGTCACATCCAAACTTGGGGTGGCAACAACTGCGGCCTCAAAGCCCCTCGATGGCTGGAACGCACTTCCTGAGCATCATCTAGGCATTTCCAAAGCTGCTGGCGTGGGTTTGTTGTCGGTCCTTATTGGCCAATGGCCCAAGGATGCCACCAACCAGAGTCAGCTCAGGACAGACTGGTTAGAACAATCCAGATGCTCGGGAAATCTTATGTTGGCTTTGTAGGCGTGTTTTGCATGTGGCTTCACTGCACCAGCGCCAACCAAGCTTGACCGCGCAGTTGCAAGCCTGCAACCGCCTGCACGTGCACCATGCAGCACTTCTGCAGAAGGCCCGAGCAAGTCGAGTGTCTGCCCAGGACATGCAAGGCAATTTTTGTTTGGCATGAGATATGTGCTCAGAGCTGCGAACAAGCGCCGGCTATCATTTTATGGGACATGGGGCAGTTTTCGGCACCGCCAAATTATATGTTGCATGTTATGGCTGCCAGAAATGATGCATAGAGAGCGTCTTAGCGATGCTTCATGTGATGCAGTGACATTACCCTTGCAGCCGTGCCTCGGCGTTGGCGCTGGCGGGCTCAAATTTCCAGACAGAGCTGCGATCGCAGGGCCAGGAGCTGGGCATGGATGAAGTGTTGTCCTGGTAGCCAAACAGATCCAAAGCAGATATTTGCTTGGAAGCAACATATGGCAGCCGACACGCCACAGACCGTCGAATGGCTTTGTGCCGAAACCAGCTCGACGCAGCATTGCTTTCTTGACACAGCGCCAACGGTGACAAGAGGGCCTTCTCGCTTTCTTCCCGGTTGCGTGAAGACCGTGCAACCGTGTCATGTGGCTGGCGCAAAGGCTGGCCGCGGCGGGCACAAGCTCTGGCTTTGAACTTGTTGAGGCCCCTCCAAATGGGTGGTTTCTTTTCGGCAGCAGTTGGTTCAAACAGCAGGCAAGGTTGCACGTACCTGGGTTTGGTCCAATCTTGCGTACTATAGTTCGCTGGGACAATCATCCAACTTAATGCACACCACTCCAGCCCATCAAAGCACGAAGTGCTGACTAGAGGGAAGCTTAGGGTTTGGGGTCAGCCAGTTTTCATGGGGGTTGGCCTGTCCAGAAAAGCAAACGGGAGGTGTCTCATGCACCTGCCAGTTGACCAAAACCCGAACCGGTTCGTTGCACTTTCAAAACCTGGGTACATCAGGGCAGCGTTGACCATGGGGTTCGGCCCCTGTGCGGTTTCAGGCGATGGCAAGCGAGGCCCAGCCAATCGACGAGGAGCGAGGTTGCCGTGCTGGGGTGCGTTTTTTTTGGTTTGATAGGAGCTACCGACATCATAGAGGATCCCTTGAAGAGGAACTTGGTGTTCCTGGTAGCCTCCCATGCCATGTAAGTGAAAGGAAGGGCATTGCAGTTGGTGGTGTTGAGTTTGGTGTTGCTTATTGCTTGCCAGGAGCAGGAGCAAAGCCTTCCTGCCGTGCAGGCGTGGCCGAAGGGGAGAACCGGTTTTTGCGGCAGGTTCTAAGCTATGCACATGAAACGCTGTTGGGATACCTTCACGCAACAAAGGAGCCCAACTGGAGGATCAGCTTGACACATCAAGGTTTGGAGTTGTTCGCGCGCTAAAGGAAGAGGAGGTGGGGCATTGGCAACATCATGGGCTCCTCTTGGGCTAAGTTTGACATCCGTGTTGTCTCCTGCGGGTTGTATAGTACAGAGTGGAAGTTGTTGGAACGCTCGGCAGTTTTTGATTGTGATGTCTTCACATCAAGCATCAAATTCGTTTCGGTTCAAGCTTGTCAACACATATACGCATACTTCACATATTCAGTGTCGGAATTTTTGCACCTTGCATCTCAGGTAGAGCCTCTGGACAAGTATCGTTTTCAAAGATCATCAATGGAATCAAGGGCCCTTATTCCAGTTCTACGTGTCTTCAGGCCAAACACAACACCTGTTAAATACGCACCCTGTATGCATCCGCTGGTGTGTGTGTGTGTGTGTGTGTTGTGCTTTGTAAAGCTACGATCGGATAGACCGTAGACCCGCGTGGGGTGTCGCTCCTTTATCGGGTTCTGGGGTGGCTCAAGAAGGACAGGATCCGCCTTTCTTGCGGCTTCGTTGCAAATGGATTGGCGCTGTTGTCTTTCCCCACGAATCACAGGGATCTCGGGCTTCAGCTGAGGGAGGCCTAAATGGTTGGGATCCATTCAGCAAGTTGTTGCCTCCCCTCAATTTGTTTCAGGTTCGGGTTTTGAAACTTGCAAGCACATGAAGGACTCTTCCCTCGCCATGAAGGTGGATGTTCACTTGCCCAGCGGAGATGGGTTCTCCGTAGCAGTCTCACCGGCTACGTCCATCAGCCAGCTGAAGGCAGCAGTGCAGCAGCATTTCCAGCGCCGCTTGAAGCTCATTGCGAGAGGCCGTCAACTCGATTTGACGGCCTCGCTGAGCGAGGCTGGGTTGCAAGATGGAGATGTGATGGATGCAGTTGTGCAGCTTGGCAAACTGGCTGCCACTGAGAAGGCGCTTGCCTGGCACGCCCACGGGGGCGAGGTTGTGACTTGGGGTCATCCGGAGACAGCAGCCAGGTGCAAGAGCAGCTGAGGAACGTCCAGCATATCCAAGCAACCAAGTATGCTTTTGCTGCCATTCTTGAATCTGGAGCTGTTGTGAGCTGGGGCCGCGTAGACCTGGGCGGAAACAGCAGCGAGCTTCGCGTGCAGCTGGGGAATGTCCATCACATCCAAGCAACTATCAGCGCTTTTGCTGGGGCTGGGGCGGAGACAGCAGCCCGCAAGAGCAGCTGAGGAACGTTCAGCACATCCTAGCAACTGCTTGTGCGGATTCGGGGCTTCCCGACAGGTTCGGGGCTCCCGAATCGACGGGCTCGGGTCAGACAAAAACCGACGGCCTCAGGCCTCCCGAATTGACAGATTCAGGGTGTGTGACCAGCCATTTTTAGAGGGAACCCATCGGCGGCCAGGTAGATTCGAGCCGGTCTCGTGCTGGGGGTTGGACCGCTGGGCTGTGGGAAGGTTGTGCTTTCACCAAAATTCTGAAGGGGGCAGCCCGGGTTCATGGCGAAGCATGGAAGCCGAAGCCCTATGGGTGTAACTAACACGCTGCGAGGGTTTGCAATATGTAGCAGGGCTTGAGCAAAGTGCTGCCATGCTGCGCAATCTCGCGGCGCGCCAACTCATGTTGCTATGCGCCGCTGCTTGCTGTGCACTGTAAGGTTCGGTTAGTTCACATGGAGAGGCTCGGGGGGTTAGAGCAGCCAAGCAACGGGACATCCAAGCAACTCACACTGTGCTTTAGCAGCCATCCTGGAATCTGGGGCTGTTGTGACCTGGCATGATCCAGGCTGGGGCCAGATGCAAGAGCAGCTGAGGAACGGCCAGCGCGCCAAGCGACCAAGTTTTTTCTTGAATCGGGCGGTCGTGATCTGGGATCTCTAAACCCGGCGCAGACAGCAGCCTCCAGAGCATCCAAGCAGCCAGCGTGCTTTTGCTGCCATTCTTGAATGTGGAAGTGTTACGACATGGGGTCACCTACATTTGGCGGAGACAGCAGCCAGGTGCAAGAGCAGCTGAGCAACGTCCAGCGCATCCAAGCAACTGCGAATGGCTTGAATCTGGGACTGTTGTGACTTGGGGCTATGTGGAACGTGGCGGAGACAGCAACCAGGTGCAAGAGCAGCTGAGCTTGGAATCGGCTGCAATGACGCGCTGGGAATCTAGAGGTGAGCAGTGAGCAACGGTGAATTTTCGCCTTGAGCCACAACTCGAGCATGACAGGCTGTGTTAGGGAACCCCACTTACCACGATTCCCAAGTAGTCCCTGTTATATCTGCTGAACGGTGCCCCTTTTGGGTTCCATTTCGCTGGGTTGGTCCAACCAGTGCGCTTACCTCCATTTTGTTCTCAAAAATGCGTCCTTTCGAACAGTGTCCGGCGAGGTCTTCTGGTTTTCTTGAACCACCAAGAGTTCTCCGGTTCCTTTTGTTTTGGACACATATCCTCGGGGAATCTGCCCGACGGACACAATTGAGGCCCGGCTCATGGTTTCTTGCCATCCTAGAAAGCTCGACATTTTCTTGCTTGTGTGTTGTGGAGCTTCCCATGGCGTGATTGCATCCCCAAATCCCCGCTGGCCATTTAGGCAATGGTTCTGCTGGCCCATACGAAGCTACATACTCCCCGTGGTTGACGTGCTTGTTAGTGCATTTCAAGAGGGGTTGTCGCACTACAACATGCGAGCAATCCAAATGCAAGCTTTCAAATCTGGCTTCTGCCTGACCAAACTGGATAGGTGAGATGTCTCAACTGCAGCTCACAGCAACTGTCGCAACCTTAGGAGCAACTTGTATTCCTAAGGTATCTCTTAGGGAGTTCGCAAGAAATCCCCAAGCATGGTTCCAAGGGTCGAGATCGGGTGGAGCCCTCAAGACAAATCCGTGTTTTTTGAGCCAAAAGGGCAGGTGGCCGTGTGTCTTCTTTGAGGTTACCCTTTTGAAGGTGGAAGCCAACAGGACTTCGAAGCGCGCGGGCAATCAAACATCCCATCTGAGTATCACAATCGATAAACCGATTGGACATCATTTGTACCTGGGGATTTATGTCCAACCATCTTCTTTCTTGAATGATAATAGGCCTTTCTGCCCACCAGCCATTTTTGAAGCTCATTTGCATTGGCAGCAAGTTCATTTTAAAGCAAAAAGGCGCGCAGAACCCGCCAAGAAGTTGGTTTTTCCCAAAAGTTCATAGGCCTTTTCTGCCCACCAACCCAATTTTTGCAGGGTGTTTTTCCTCTTAAAGAAAAACACACACACACACACACACACACACACACACACACACACACACACACACACGCACGCACGCACGCACGCACGCACGCACGCACGCACGCACGCACGCACGCACGCACGCACGCACGCACGCACGCACGCGCACGCACGCACGCACGCACGCACGCACGCACGCACGCACGCACGCACGCACGCACGCACGCACGCACGCACGCACGCACGCACGCACGCACGCACGCACGCACGCGCACGCACGCACGCACGCACGCACGCACGCACGCACGCACGCACGCACGCACGCACGCACGCACGCACGCACGCACGCACGCACGCACGCACGCACGCACGCACGCACGCACGCACGCACGCACGCACGCACGCACGCACGCACGCACGCACGCACGCACGCACGCACGCACGCACGCACGCACGCACGCACGCACGCACGCACGCACGCACGCACGCACGCACGCACGCACGCACGCACGCACGCACGCACGCACGCACGCACGCACGCACGCA